ATGCTCAACAAGTGTTGCCGCAGCCCCATAATTTAGAATGGTATCCCTCCATCGGTACATCCAGAGTACATCTGTTCTCTGGCCCGAATGGGGAGGGCGCATAGCCGGGGAATGGAAGGCAGGGATATTAAGCGCATTATTTTAGCTCTCGTTTCTCTTACTTGTTATGCCGGTCCCGCGCGACCCACGCGTATTTACACCGTTGTTGCTGCACTCGTTGTTACGTGCAAAAGGGAACGGTCATCCGTTTAAATCCATAAGGATTCAATTGCCCCCTCCTCTGTTCGAGGGCGTTCATAAAAACGTTCAACAAGTATCGCGTGCAACACAAGAATATCTGCTGGATCGCGAGGTAATTTTAGGTTAATGAAAAGTGGGAATAGGCGGGCCGGGTTATATTAAGGACATTATTTTCGACATTTTCCCTCCCCGTGTTTACGAATATATTTCTTCGCACGGAGGGATTCTCTCTTTTTCTCTCTGTGCCTCTCTCCTCCCCTTTCGAAACGAGGCTTCGAAATAACAACGAATTATCCGAGCTCTCACCAAGTTTCTTCGATTGTCGACCGAAACGGTGGAGCATGCACGGTTAAAATGAAACGTGGAGGCAAAGTGAAATCGTTGGGCGAATTATTAGCGAGATTTCTTATCGATCCTTCATTACGGGAATCTCGTTTATCGTGGATTTAACACAGGCAAGGAAACATTGATACCCTGTTTCTCCTCTCGCTGATTACTCGATGCTCCTCGATAACGTCGGATTATTTTCGAATCCTTCAACGGTTAAGTTAATCTTCCCTCTCTCGTTCCCTGCGAAATTTACGACGAAATTATCGATACGTAGGTTCAGTTTACTGATCGATCGCTGTTTAAATAACAACAATTGGAACTGGACAACGAATCGGAATAAACCAAGCACAGGATTAATTATCGATTTTGCGAATCATCGACGAAGAGAGAGAATTCTAATTCTCGGGGAAAAGGGTTGGACGTTTATCTGGGCGGGTGTCTCGCGTGTCGTGAGGTCGTAAGCGCCGCTTTCGCGTTAAGCACGGGCGTAACGACGCCTCGCGTTCACCAAGCTTTTTGTCGTGGAGGAGGACATGGTTATCGCCGAATCGATCGGGGCCGAGTTCACGGATATCCACAGGTGAATATCTCCCTCTTAGCGAAGGTATATGATTTCAGCAACACGGACGAGCTAACCATTTCCTCTAATCTCTGTTTTTTAAACCGCCTGTCGCGAATTTAGCGACATGCCTCTCTCTCTTTCTTTCGGTGTTTGTTGTAGAAAATTGTTGCGGATAGAGGAGAACTTGGCTGCTCCTTTGACCGTGCGCGGCAACGCTCTGCCTTCATCCAGAATTGCGCAACAAAGGGATCGGATAGCGCGTATCGATAGATGTAGGATGCAGACGCGGTTTGCTCATTGGTCTCGCGCAGCCTCGTTAATAAGGAGAAATATCGTAACCTTATTTATTCCGCGAACTTCGAGGAATATTCCACGTGAAACAACGCGGTTTATCCGGGGAGATCTCGTCGAAACGATGCGACGTTTCGGCTCTCTTATATTAATTTCCCCTAAAAATTTCCCCTCCTCGCTCCACTCTCTCTTGCCTTTCTTCTTTCTTTCTTCTTTCTTCCTTTTCTTTTTTCTTCTTCCCACCACGTTTCAACGGAGGTGAGTTACAGGTGCACGTGAATTTCGTTAATCGGATTATTCGTCGGTCGATCGACGAATCGAGGGAAGGGAAACGTGGAGCGCGATGGGAAGACGATCGAGCGTAACGCGATCGTGCGTCGAAACCCGGCGATAGCCGGTTTATAAATATGCGAGCGGAGAAATTGCGTTTTCTTCGAGAGTCACCCGCGATAATTCTTCAACGCGTTAACGAGGAGATAGATAGAGAAGAAATATTGTCGAAGATCCCCCTCCGAGTTTGAAATTGATAGATCGATCGATAGAATTTTCTATCACGGTTAATCAAGGATAAATTCGAGAAAGATGAGTTTCGATAAAATTTTCCACACACGCATGAATTCGTTTTTCCAACGATCTATAAATCGATTTCTAATTTCCAAAGACAGAGTAGAAATAACGATCTATGATACTCTCACCGGCCAAAAGTTTCAAACTTCTTCCGTTTCAACTTGGCTCACGCAACTTTTTCAATCTTGGAAAATTCTCCTCTTTGAAAAATTCATTCGAATGATATTATTATCGATTCTCGAATCGATGAAATTTTAATTTAAAAAAGACACGGTTACAACAAATTTACATTTTCAATGGTATCTCGTGGTAGAAAAAAAAAGTTATTTTATTATTCTCTTATAATACACGCGCCGAAATTCTGAGCAGGCCAACGTGCATTTCGATCTCGATCGTGCGCGGACCCGATCGCGACCCCCCTGATTCGTCTCAATTTCATTAAATAATTCTAATGGCCGCCGGCACGTGAGACGATCATTTTATCGCGCCCGTATATCCGCGAGGCCCTCACCGTCCTTATATCTCGAAGACAAAGTACACGGTATCAGAAATGCATGGCAACGTGCACCAGCGTACAGTAGCAGGCACCGCGACATTAATAATTCATAGCGGCGCGAAAGGGGAGGGGAGGAGGAGGAGGAGGAGGAGGAGGAGGAGGAGGAGGGGCAAGAGTTAAGCTTTGGGGGAATTATAAATATTTAGATCGTTCTCGAAGATCGCCTCGAAGAATGTTAGAAAACGCCGTTTCGTACCCTTTTTCTCCCCCTCCTTTCGTTCCTTCCTCCGGTGGTGGAGGCCTCGCCGCATCGTTTACATCACGCGCGCGTGACTCTATTTTCTTACCACGCTCTCCTCCTCCATCGTCGATTTTTCACCTTTTTTTCTTCTTCTTCTTCTTCTTTCCCTCCTCCTTTCCTTTTATCCACGTTTCCGTGAATTTTGTCCCGCTTCTTCGAGGGGCATCGATTTTCCGGGAAACGAGGGAGATTGCCGGGATATTAAAAATCAGGAACAACCCGACGATGAACGCGGCCGTTGTTCGCCGTATCGAGTGCAACGATCGATGGTCCGCGGAAAAGACTCTCGAGCGGATTGATCTCGTGGACGAGGAAGGAGAGAGAGAGAGAGAGAGAGAGAGTTGAAAAAGGAAAAATGAGAAAAATAGAAGAATGGAGTATTGTGTAGGGGACGTGGAATTTCAGCGGGATTGTGCGTGGCGTTTCGGGATCGAATTCTTTGAGGCTTTTCCTTTTTTATTACTCGAAATGGAAACGGTGTCTTCAAGACTTCGAGCTGAGTTAATATCCGATATCCTTTCCGCCTTTTGACTCTTGTCAATCCATTTTTTCCGCTCACCTCAACGTCCGGTATTGGTCGATCCACCTCGATTATCGATTAACGATAGACATGCGGTTAGACGCTGCGTAATTTCGTGTTGCAGTTGTAGAGAAAAATTCTGAGAGAAATCGAGATATTGATCGATTGAAAAGTTATATTATTCTAGAAGCAACCTAAAAATATCGAAAAAAAAAGGGAAGAGACATTAGTGGATTTCGAATTATTTTCGTTAAATTTATTACGCGACGTTACAAACAGATCGAAATAGAACGTTTCTTCGAGCCACTACGTCGACTTTCCTCTTTCGCTTTCGAGGAATCCACCCCCCCCCCTTTTTTTCCTTTTTCATCCTCTCCACGACACAGGTCGGCTCTCCCCTTCTCGACAAGTTGCAACGTTCACGCGACCTCTCTTATTTCCTGACCCCGGTGGCCTTGACCTAGGCCTTCTCCCGCGGGGGTCGATCAATCAATGAGAGGAAGACTGGCGCAGGCTGACATCGACTAATTGCGTAAACGGCCCCGATAGCGATGCTCTCTCTCGCCTTTTCCCTGCCATTGCGATGAAAATTTTTCCTTCTTCTTCTTCTTCTCTCTCTCTCTCTCTCTCTCTCCTTTTTATTTTCTGCATCGATCCGTTCGAGTCTCTCGAGTGACGGGTTGTTGGATCGATACTCGCGACGGACAACAGATCGATCGAATCGTTGTCGGGGATAGAAGGGGGGAGAAAGAAGGAATTGCATCGCTGGTAAACGGTAACAAACGATCCGTTGCAAGGAATTAACCGGCACAATGCGACGCTGATTACGCGGTTGAAGTTCAGAACTGAAGGCAGAGTTGCTCCGGCTTTACGATCGTTTACGATTGCGTAATGGTCCGATCGAAACGATAATCTGCTCGCAGGAGGAGAAGTGCTTCCCTATTAGCCTTAGGTTACGTTGCCGTGAGCGTGTTACCTTTTGCCTCGGACGGATATTAAGCCGGATCGATGACGATTAAGCCGCGGAGCTAAATTGAAATTCAATAAGCGGCCGGCTTTCGAATCGATGGGGATAGATGGCGTGGGGGCAACCATTTCGTTTCGAATCTTTCGAAAATGGTGATTCGTTTTCGATTTATGTGAGATTTTTTTTCGAGAATGTAATAAAATAATTCGATGTATATATATATATACATCGATCGATATTTTATTTGGCAGCCAATTTGCCAACTTGTTCGCAAACGTGATAATGCATATCGGGGGAAAGCGCGTATCTTGGAACTTGCAATGTCATTGGTGCATCGTCGTTCGCGTTGCGATAACAATTAATCTTTTATTCCTCAGTTAAAATTATTATTAGCGAGCGTGATAAAGTTTGGAGGGAAAAAAAAAAGAAAAAAGAAAGAAGGCGACGGTTTTGAAAAATGCATATCGAGGTCTTTGAACTTGATAATGTCAAAGCTCTATATAACCTGTGTCATTCGATAACCGAATAGGAATACGTTCCCTCGTAACGATTAATTATCTTTTATTAACGGCCAACCGTTAATATTTCTCATTCATATAAGCGCGACGTAACATCGTTACAACAACGTTACGTAAGCCGCAGTGAGCGGCCGATACAGAACGTGTATCTCGAACCATAAAACTCAACTTTATTCCCCCTAACCTTTTTTTTCCTCCTTTGTTCCAGACGTCCAATGGATTAACGTCGCGACGTGGCGGTGAACACAGGAGAGACGAAGGGCAGTCCCGTTCCAATTTCGAATTTCGAAGACGTTTCAGCGTTCCAGGAATCGTTCGTAACGATGTAAAGAACAATGTAACACCGTTGCCGTTCAGATAACCGCAACACACGTGTGGAGAATAAAAAAAAAAAGAAAAGAAGAAAGAAAGAAAGAAAGAAAGAGAAAGAAAGGCGGAAGAGGGAGAGGAAACGAAAGGGAAGGATAATAATCGGAAAGAGGGAAAGACGACGCGATCGATCGGTTCCTGAAAAGAAGCGCCCGATCGATCGTTTCCTTTCGAAGGTGCGCTCGTTTAGGATCAACCTGGCTTTCTTTTTCTTTTCCCCTGTTGGATAGTTCCCTGGAACGAAGTTGAACGGCGCTAGATCGCCACACGATCGCTCGACAGCCGACACCGCCTACTTTCTATCGCCCTGAAACGACTCCCGAGGTGCACCGCCGGTAAAATCCTCGAGAAACGAGTTTTACGGCCGATTCTCACTGTGAAACGCGACGAAACGACCGTAATTATCCGAGGATAGTACCGTGAGCCTTTCTTTTCATTTTTTCCCCCCTCCCCGTTCTTTTTCTTTTTCTTCTTCCTTCTTCTTTTTCTCTCTCTGCTTTCTTTCCTTCCTTTCCTTTGTTCACTGATTGTAGGGGAGGAGGAGGGAGTCTACGCGTGGAAAAAATACGAACGAATGATCGATCGATTCGGTGAAAGAGGATCGATTCGAATCGACCCTTAACGGGACGTGTGACGATTGTCTGTCGCGACAATTTCTAATTTTATCGTATAGAACCTTCTTCTGTACGAGGCCTGATTCTACGGGATCTCGTCTCGGCGCAAAACCGCGCTTAAACCCGCCAATTCTTCCCCTTTTCCGACTCCAATCCCTGGAAACTCGCTCGCTTTTCGAATTATCTTATTTACCTTATTTATTTTTTTCGACGACGATTATTCAAACATTTGCCTTTGGCTTTGATTTGGCCAGCCGTAATATTTGAGAAATTCGAGAATCTCTGACGACAATTCGTCCTTGCCCGATAAGAGTTAAGATTCGAATAAGTGGCTACGAACGGTTTGCGTGTGGCGATCTTGGCGATCTCGTC